ATTTATACCAACGTAACTAAATTTAATTACTTTCCGACTATGAAGAGCTGGCAACATTTCAACTCAGAACGTGTTCACTGCATAAAGGAGAACAAATAAACAAATATATACATAATACATAAACAGAAACAAAGCCATTAGTACGAGACATGAACATGTTTTTATTAGCTTTAACGATTCCCCATTGTAATAAATACCGATTACTAATCAATTGCAGATGCCACGGGGCCTTGTTTCTCGTCTCGGTGGTATGAACTGTAATAGAAAATACTGTGTAGACTACAAAGCACGCATCTAGTCATCATTTGGACATCGCCCGAACAGAAGCCACTGCAAGAGATGAGGAACCCGTGCAGATTTGGTTACAGGTAATAACGCCCTGAACCTCTTTTGGACAGAAAAGTTAAAATCTCAGACGACTTTACAGATTCTCTTGCTTAAAGAAATCCGTTTATATTCTAAGTATTTGCACGAAAAGTACGGGACAATAGCCAACCATGGAATAGGCCACGACAGAAAGTCGCGGTGTAGTCCTTGGAATTCGAAGGGGGATCAAGGTTCAATTCTTGGCCTAGACACCATCTGTCCAGACAGTGGATCCTGTTGGTCCTGCCAAGCAATTTCTGGGATGATACCTCAAAATAATTATAGGCCAAGTCTGTCCACATCCTTTCCAACTCTTTATTAGCCGTCCTCATTTCACTGATAGAAGGAAAATACTGGTTGGCTGGTTGTTTGGATCAGCGTATCTCAGACTCTGCTGCAATAAACAAACAAAAACAAACTCCGTGGCTTTAGTCCGCAAGCGAACTGTACCGACCGAGCGATCGCCGCTTGTCGGCGAAGTTCGTACCAACTTTAGAGGATAGAGGGTGTCGCGTGGTCAGCGGAACAAATCCCTATGGCTGTTAATTTCTGTTTTCTAGACGGAAGCCGCTACTTTTCCATTCAAGTAGCTCCTTAGTTATCTTCACGAGGCTGAGTGGACCCCGTTCCAGAGCCACTTCTTCTCAGAAAATCTGGTACCGCTGGGACTGTAGCCAGGAACTCTGACCACTAGACCACAGAGGCGGTCCTCTGTTGCAAAATTCTTCATTGAAATACCTCGTATACAGTTACACTCATTCTTAGTTTCTAATCACTTCGGTGTAACTAAGTAAATCCTCCTTAACAAGATGAATTCCCTCCACACTCAGGGAGCAGTGAGTTATGAGCATAGGTTTGTACTGTTTTTCTGCAAATCAGTTACATCTTTAGATGCTGAAACATGCTGCAACGACTCCTCAATCGTCTCAATTAATCTGTAATCCTGTCGTGTATCGCCGTTTGTGCGTTCGAGTTAACGTAAGCGGATAATAAGACTGCAAGATCATTGCATCTCCCCCGCATTCAGTAACCAAACACACGAGCCACACAGAAAAATCCTACATTTAACGATAAGATTATATGAGAGGGATAACAAGAACGAGATATACAGAACAGGTGCAGACTTTTACATTAGACACACAAGGGCATACAAGAGAGTGAACAGACGCCAAACATATGTGGTGGTACCCTGTACCTTACAGAATCACACAAATACAACTAATAGACATTCAAACAAATTTTTGTATAATTAAGACATGAAGGACTGGTGAAAATAAATTAATGTCGTGCATGAAAGAACGGACTCCAATCTATTGAAAATGAGGGCTGAAATACAGAGCCAATAACGAGTAGTTTCAGGTTCTTCAAGGTACTCTCCACTTCTGGATGGATATCCAACAAGCCAGTTAGAGGGCTAATGCGGTTCAGTCCTTGTAAGCTGTTAGGCGACAGGTGTTGTAGCTGAAGCCGGTGACAGTTCGGGAACCCAGAGGAAGGGGAACGTCCGCCGTTGGAAGCCGCTACCGAGGAACGGCTAGGGAAGCCTGGTCTGTAGTTAGAGTGATCTTTGGAGGGTGTTACTCAGTGAGACTGTCGTAGTTATTTGTAGTTACGTTCTATAGGTGTTCAACAAATCAGATTACCAATCCAAACCCCGTCTATAGCCACACTATAATCGTGACAATATATTAAGACTGCCATAGAAGAGAAATAAGGGAACAAGCGAATCAAGACAAAATAAAGGAAGAGAAAAACGAAAGGAAGGAAAATAAATAAAAGCAGACTGAATGAAGATGAGAAACAAATATAAAATTGGGAGAAGTGAAAGCAAAGGGAGCGAGATAAAAGAGTAATAGAGAATTAAAAAGAAAGAGAAAATGGAAAACAAAAGCAGACGGAGACAAAGAAAAGCGAGGGTAAGAACAAAAAAATAAGAAAAGAGAAATACAGATAAAATCAAAGCTATGCAGAGAGAAGGAAACAAAGGAAATAAATCATACTTGTAAAAAGGAACGGAAGGGAAGAAACGAAGAGAACAACAAACTTCACATTAATTTACGTTGTTGTACCAGAATTTCAGTTCATGTCATGGGGGTTTGGGGGAAGGGGGCGACACGCAAAATAAACCATTACCTGATCGTCATGGCATGAAGTTTCAGTTAACAGAGGTAGTGCTTTTTTACCTCAAGTAATGCAGCTCTAATGTTGACATGGTTTGTCACCTTGCCTAAAAGCCACTTACACGCAGATTATGTCTTTCAGCCAAGCGAAACACAACTTGCTGCAAAGCAAGAGCCGACCTTCAGCAAGGTTACGTGAATACACATGCCTCCGTCCGTGTTCAGGTCCCCGCTTCACGTCTAGGTTAGTGCTTTGTTAAATTAACGTCAGTCACACAGAGGGATTTCTGCATCGAGAGCACTGCAAGGCTGATGACATCCACTGTCAGGAAATCGTAACATGTTTAACCCAAGTTCTGGTAGAGTTATCATTACAGGAGATCAGAAGCTTCATATCTGAAACCACATAATCACTGCTGAGAGCTTCTGGGTACTCTCGCTTTCTGTGCGATAAAAAACATCTTACGGGAAAAGCGGTGTGTTTACTACAAGTTTGCACGAACATTCGTGTTTCTTCGAGCCTTTGCTTTTCCTTCCACCTCGTTACAATATACAGGATGCCAATCGCAGCTTGCATTCACTGATCATCTGTTACATCATTCATGGAATCTCATGCAGATACCCCGATAAGATTTAATGAAGTGCTAATGGTAGGCTATTTGAAAGAGAGATTAGTGCGTCTGTAGCCAAGCACAAACCTGCTGAACATGTATTACACATTCAATTTACTCTGAATTTGTCAGATGGCTGGGATGTCTAAGCTGTATTATTTATCAGCAATTTTTATACTCTTACAGAATGACGAGAGGAGGATGACAAATGACCACCTGGAAGACCGAGAAAGAAATGGAAATATACCATTAATATATAGCTTATATTACCTTCATGCACTGACAGTCCTGTCACGTGTATTAGTGATTACAGAAGGGACTTTGATTGGTGAACAGATTTACTGAACACTCACAAGTCGTAACTAAAAATAATTATAACACTCTAAAGTTAACTGTAACTACAGCACACATAGTCTCCCATATCTGCTTGCTAATCGTTGCTTGGTAATGAACCTTAGCTGGTTATTACTCCACAGCTGAATAATCAACTACTGATCTGCCTTCTCAATTCGCTTACGAAAGACTTAATTGAATTCACGAATGTATTTTCTTTCATAATTTGGGACGAACCGAAATCGTGTTTGTGGCCTCATATCCGTTGCCAAGTGAATGTGTGTTTACTGAACCATTGCCTAGCAAATTTATATCCTCTTCTGTTCATTGCTACTCCTACTTTTAGGCTGTTTACAGAACCGTTGCCTAGCAATAGTCATATTCGTCACAATACACATTACACAGAGCTGCCTATCGGTATTCTCGAATTCGATAAATCGTCATTTCGTATTAGTCTTCAGCATTCAATATCCTAACAGCGTAAGGCCAGCCCATGCCTGAAAGCGGGGATTTTGGGACGGGGTTTCGGTAAAGAGTAGAAAAGAAGCGATGAACAGTGCACATTTAAATTCAGCTCCCCGGGTAGAATTTGAACTATATTACGCCCAAGACTGCCTAAAAACTGCGCAGGGACTGCGTTCGGTAATGAAAGTTAATATCATTAAGATATCCCATACAGATTAATTTCTTCCACAATTATTCACTTGTGAGTTCCAAAGATTTCTTAGAGACAGTAGAAAGTTTAACAGCATAAAATGTGAACGTCATCCTAGATACTATTCATAAAACTCGGGTATCTCAAAGAAAATACAACGAACCTCGGTTAATATATAATTCCGTTAATGGAAGGAGATAATCACCCTTTACTGTACAACTGTTATGTAAATTACATAACAAGAAGTTCTGCGAAGTATTATTCGCCTACTTTCATTTGATAAGATACGGACCGCATACAAAGCGACCACTCAACAACTCTTCTATTTTTTCGTGTATATTCATTGCCACCGCAATATGTTTACGGGCCGTTGCGTAGCATCGGCAGGGGTATACAAGAAAAGTCATACAGATAACAAGGTGATCTAATAAAGACTACTTTCCTTTTTTCAAAATGGGAAAGTAGGTTAAATCGTAATGGGGAGCTGTCCGTGTGAAAGCCAACTCGTTCATCCGGTTGTTTTCTATTTCGAACAACAAACCGAATTTCGATTCAATTTGGTGTATTGAAAGTTGCGAAGAAACTTGAATTTTTGTCCATGTCGGTTCGTTATGATCCCTACTTCACAGGGAACTAAAATCTAAAATAATATATACGTAGCTGTATCCCCACAAACGGCTCATTGCATAACAGATTTGTTGGTGACATGAAACATGAGTTATATACAGGGTTAGTCCGGAAAGTAATGCAATTTGTATTTTCCCGCCGCTCCTGGTCGCAGCGCATTCGGACCGTTTGGGAAGGGGGGGGATCTTACCTTCACAACGCTTCCAAGCTCAGTCTGCTCTGAGCTCTGGGAGCGTCAGGATCGCTGTTTCCGTGAACCTCCTGTTAGTGCTTGTGTCACGACGCGCAATGGAGAAACCTATCGAACAACGTTACGCGATCAAGTTCTGTGCTAAACTGAACAAAAGCCTCGCCGACACCCACCAAATGATTCAGGAAGCCTACAGGGACTCTGCTCTCTCCTATTCTCAAGTCTCCAGGTGGTTGAAGTTGTTTACAAATGGCCGGGAAGAGGTGAAGGATGACCCCCGCTCTGGACGGCCGTCAACCAGCAAAAGTGCCAAAAATGTGTCTCGTGTTCGTGATCTTTTAAATACCAATCGTCGAATGAGTGTTCCGATGATAGCAGAGACTCTCAGTATTCCGAAAACCACTGTGCACGACATCGTTATCGAGCTGGCAGCTGCAGCACGACAACGCTCCCAGCCAAACCGCTCTGCGCGTCCGGGAGTTTCTGGCCAAGCACAGCTTGGAAACGTTGCCCCAGCCTTCCTAGAGTCCTGACCTCGCTCCGGTAACTTCTATTTCTTCTCGAGGATCAAGACCACCCTGAAAGGAACCCATTTTGGAATCAATGAAGCGATCCAAACCGCAGTGACAAAGGCTCTAAACGAGGTCCCCGTCGACGCCTTCCAGGCTCCGTACCGTGCATGGAAAAGTCGCCAGCAAAAGTGTGTGGATGCCCAAGGGGAGTACTTTGAAGAATTTTAAACGTTTGTAACGATATCCTGAATAATTTTTGTACGGACTTAATTGCATTGCTTTCCGGACAAATCCTATATATCACTGAAGTATATAACACGTATTTCAAACATCTTTCGCTCTGGTGCTAGTTACACTTCTCGAAACATTCGAACAAATTGATCTTATTCTATGCATCCTGTTGTGTCTCGTAAACAAGATACATAAAATGTATACAAAAGTATGCAGTCTACACAACAATAATCTGTATTTAAAACAAATTAGACGCTATCGTATCAACATTTGCTTTTATTGATGCAACATGTTTCGATCTTTATACTGGGTCATCATCAGGCGTAAAATGATACCAGACTTAGTTGTTGAATTGGTATCATTTTATGCCTGATGATGACCCAGTATAAGGGTCGAAACATGTTGCATCAATAAGAATAAATGTTGATACAATAGTACCTACTTTGTTTTAAATGCAGAATATTGTTGTGTAGACTGCATACCTTTGTATACATTTTGCGTACCTTTGATAAAAGTATGACTGCGCAATGCTGCATACAGTAATAACCTTGCAACCAAAAGATTTTCATTTATAAAAACTAAATACTAAAGCGTATAAAGCATACGAAATGACATAGGACTCCCCTGGGAATGATGTGCCCTATAAACTGGAGTGAGTAAGCCTAGGCGTTCCCACTCTTGCTCTGACAACCAAAGAAAATCCATAAAGACAGTCGAGTTACCACAGCCATGTAAAGGATAAACGTCATAGGCTTACCTTGTAACTTCTTGCTTACAGTGAAGGTTCGTGCAGAGCCCATTACTTCTGAGGGCCGCCATGTTTAATGATAGAATGGTGAAGCATATCGTCAGCGGTAGATGCAGCAGTCGGATCATCAAATTTAATAACGCGTGAAGACAAGATAAATCATTACGCTTCTTCGCCAATATTTAGTTGGAAGAGCTTTATAGAATCTCTGAACGTCAGCACAAAAACACAGTGGCGACCCATACCCGTCAATCAGAACGCTCATGGCTATCACGAGTCAGGCCCTGGCGCAGGGATTCATCTGGATTATGACGAAGCCAAAGCAGAAATGACTAATGTTTATGCCGCTTATTTATGCTTTATAATCTATGAGGAACACGTATCAAACATAGGAAATTAGGAAATGTATACATATTTTGAAAAGTATTACCTTCTGAGATAAAAAGCCGTGTAAAAAAGTAAAAAAAAAAAACGTAAAGCTATCCCTTAACAGGCCGTGAAGGCCCATAGGGTTGTGACACGTTGAGAGTCCCACACTATCTAGACAATCGGCTCAAAGATGGCGGTAAGGTTGTCAGCCTTACGTGCCGGCCGCGCTTTACTCCCCAGGAAAATTATTTAATTAATTCCTGGTACTCATTTCTGTTAGAGGCTGAGTAAACCCCAGGGCCTAGTGCGGCTGGAAGGATTAGGTAAACCGAAAAAACCAATGACCTCATCGGGAGTCGAACCCGCGGCCTTCCGGCTTGTAGCATTGCCCCTCAACCACTACGCTACAGCGTGCCCTTGTGCTTAACTAATTAAGTACTATGCCATGAAGACTTGTAGGAGAGTGGATGTATAGTTTCATGTTTTCTTGAGCTCGGCACTAGTTGGTGAGTTGTTAGCTTCACGATCCGGCCGCTTTCCCCCCTGGTAAATAGCCCCCGGTACCCTTTGGACAGGAGGTTGGGTTGGTCCCAGAGTCAATCTGGACGACGTGCAGACTATAAAATTCTTGAGCCTGCCGGGATTCGAACTCCGACCCCTCGGTCGTCCGGCTCGTAGTCGGTAGGCACACTGACTGCGCTATCCCGGCTCCCCTTTTGTAGAAATAAACACGTGGTAATACCATTAAGACGGAAATGTGTAGCAATATCCACAAAATATAGGTTAACTGAACGAAAAGAATACATTCCAAAAAAAATACATTTTTATTTTCATAATTATAGGGGTATATTCTAGCTCGGTATCAACTGTGAAGAACACATGGCACAGCCTCTGTCCTCCAGCAGAGCCGAGGCTCCCAGTCCCTGAGCCACTAGCGTAATAACGGCAAAAATCTGCAGCAGCAGCAGCATTGGGTGGGCAAATGCCTGCATGCTACAGAATCTTCCCTAAAAGTGTGCGGTTACCCAACCAGTCAGGAAATAACTTTAACAATGACAATTATTTCGGACACTGCGCATCGTCTTTGAGTTTTTCTGGACACAGCGTTTCGGAAATTGGACCTGTTTCCGTCATCATGTGTAGGGGAGAAATGTTTCCGTCGCGTTTCGGCACATCTGGCTCTGTCTAATGGGTCCTACTGAGTAGGAAATTTCCCTCCCTTATATCTGACGACGGAAATTGACTCAGTTGTAGCAACGTCGTGTTCGAAAAAGAATTCAAGACGATGGACACTGTCCAAAATAACACTCATGATCGTTGTTACACACAATCGTCAGATATTTTTGACTATGGAAATAACCTTATTTATGGAACGGTAAGGTTTATTACCATGCTCACAAAGCCAGCCACTAGGCCATATACTGGATAGCTAAACACAACAATACTTTCGGCCTACAGTCGCGTTTTCTCATTATTCTTCCGCTGACGCATAAGCCAACCAAACTGTGTTTTCCTTTGAGATATCGGATAAATATATCTACATATTTATCGTCTCCCTCTCATATGCTACATGACCAGCCCTTCTCATCTTTCATTTTATCAGAGTGACAATATTATGAAAAGAGTAAAAATTACGAACCCTCTCTTTTTACTAATTTTTTTCAGCTCTGTGTTAAACTGTTTTACACCAAATGTTTTCCTCAGTCCCGTGTTCTAGAAGATTGTTTCTTTTCTTATATTGACAGGACAAGTCTCACGCCCATACGAAGAAAGCGGAATTATAGTTTCGTGCAATTTAATATAGGTTGCACCACCATAACAATATTAGTTTCCCTGCATAAGTAACAAGGATCCTAATTATGAAACGTCCTAAATGAATTACTCGCTTGCCTTATTCTTCTTACTTCCAAACATTTTTTCTGAATACCTGATCTTCAGACACTAGTAATTTACGTTTTCCCTCCCACATAAGGGCCCGTATTACTATGATACAAAACAAGAGACAAATATTTGCTTTGTAAATCCAGATCTTTCACGTCGTATTCGGTACAAGACTTAGTGGATAATACCGATGATGAAACGGAATAACAGTAAGGCTAGGAACACACACAGCGACATCGGCCGTACGGAGAAATGTCATACGATTTTTTTTTTGCCGTACGACCTCCTTTTCACACTAGAGCGACCAAATACATTTCTCTGCTCTCCGAATGCCGTACGGTAAATGTCGCATGTCGTTACGTATGAAAGCTAAGACTACACTTTATATTCTATTACTTGATGCGACATGAACCGTACGGACGTCGTACGACCGATCTCGCTGTGTGTGTTCCTAGTCTAAGCGTTTCCTTTTCTCGTAATTTTATCAACGGGTATTATTTAGCATTGTTATTTTAGTTCTAAGATGAATGCATTTCTTAGCTTTTATATCATACAAATCTTGCAACGACGGGAACTGAATTTTTGAACGATGAAAGAAATCTCTATCACATGCCTAATTAATCACGTTATCTGGTTTAGAAACAAAAAACAAAAATAATTTTCAAGAAAAGTCTTAAAAACACGTAGGGCCTAAATTTTATTCCAATACAGCCTATCTTCTCTAAGCAATACTAGTTACGTAACTTTCATCATTACTTTAGTCCACCATTATTAGATTTATGAAAGAGGTACGTTATGTTAAACTGCATTTTTTATACTTTTCTAACATTTCACATGATAATTTAGAGAACATTTTGCTATAGGCCGTGCAATGGAGAGATGAAATTAGTGGCGTTTCAACGAACTACCAAATACGTCCAGGCAGCGTGGTTATGGTGAAGTTTCCGCCACAGGTTGAAGGACGTCATTAATTTCATTGAAGTTTGGTTGAGCCGACAGCTCTCCTCTGCCTGTTCAGATTTTCTCTTGTGCTTCGAGTACGGACTGATACATTTGGTGCAACGAAGTCGCAAGCTAAATCACGGGAGAAATTGCAATGATCACACAGCCGACAGATTTATGGTACGTTTGCAAAATTATAACGCTGAATCGAAATGCAGTATGTGAATGGTTTCACTGGAGGTGGATTCATTTCCTCGTCTTTTGTATCACTGTCACGTCTCCCTTGTCTTAGACCTGCTTACAAACCAACAGGTGATATTTTTTAGTTTGCTTACCCCCGCCTTTTCATCCGCATACGTGCCTTATACCTTGAATAGTACGATTTAGCAGAGCAAAGTGATTAACATATAAGAGTAAGTAGCGTTACAGATCTCACTCTATGAAGTGTTATCAAAGAAAATAAATTATCGTTTCTGTGACTGTGAATCGACTTATTAAACACCAGCCCCGGAGAGTGTGTACGGATTTAGCAATAATGGACTCCATTTGGTAACATTTGAAGAACTTAATCACACGGCTTTTGAGATAACCGTACACAATTTCATGGCATTTTAACAGAGAGGTTAAAAATCTGATTATATATTTTTTCAGTTAAAACCTGATTGATTTTTTGCAATATATCCGGTATTCTGATATTATCCCTTTTGGATGTAATCAATATTTTTAGTTTACTCTTCTTTACACAAAGCCATAGATTTGTTATCTGAATTGGTGGATATTTCAAATCCTCGTTGTCAAAAAAAAAAGCAGTAACCAATTTTGATTTTCACAGGAACTGACTGGTTAATTA